AAAGAGCGTCAGTTTGGGGCGGGCGCGAGAGGGAGAGCGAGCGGAAGGGGGGGAGTGGGACGGGTGGGAGGAGAGCGGGGTGGAGCGTACAGCAGCAGTGCGAGTGGCAGAGTACATCTTGAGCGAGTGCGAGGATGCTTGTCAAGAGCTGAGAGGAGCGAGACCGACGCCGACGAGGTCGACCTCGCGCCAAACCGGCCCCGCCCACTCTCGTCTCCCTCTCGCTCAAGCACGCGCTGCTCTGCTCCAGTTCTCGCATCTTGTTCCTCGCTGCCCACACCCGACTCGGCGGCACCTCGGGAGGCGTCGCCGTCGCTGTCTCGTCCTCCTCGACTCCTCGGCCGCCGGTCCACCCTCGCACTCATCCGGCAACCTCGCACCGGCTCCCGTCGCCGTCCGGTCCACCTGCACTGCGCACCACCGCAGTCGGCGCACCCATTCGCCCCTGTTCCGCCTATCCCGCCCGCCTCCCTCGCCTCGCCGCCTCCCCCGACTCGACCTCGCCGCTCAACTCTCCGCGCACTTTCGTCGGGAAACTGCTCGCACTCGTCGGCAGCTCTCGCGCCCGCCAGCTGGCTCGGCCATTTGAGCTCTCGTGCACAGGCCGAGTAACGGCCCCACGCTGCTGCGCCCCTCGGCCGCTCGAGCGCGACCGGGTCCTCACCTCGAACCCGCGCTCGCTCGCCCTTTGCGTGCCCTCACGCACTCTCGACGAGCTCGACCGTGTCGCTCGGTCTATGAGCGGCCTGTGTTCGAGGTGCTGCCGCCCTCACTGGCCTGCGCTGCCGGACCCGACTCGATCCCGCTCGTCTACGCCGCCGACCGCGCCGACCGCCGACTGGACCCGCGCAAGACTGCAGTCGCGCCGACGTGGCTACCTCTGACCCACCGTCCCGAGCTCCTCGTCCTTCGCTCCCGGCGACAAGCGGGGCGTTCCCTCGAGCCGTCTCGCCGATTCTCGTTTGCTGTGCGTCCTCCTCTCATTCATTCATATTCGCCTCATCGAGTCGGTCTCTGACAGTGTCGTCGAGTCACCTGCAGCCTCCTTTCGACACACTGGCGCCGACACGGTGCGGCGAGCAGCTCGACGTCCGTCCTCGTCCTTCCTCTCGGCCTGCCCTTGTAAGGTCTCGGCACGGTCGAGCTCTCGCAGCTCGTCTCTTCGTCGCACGCAGCAGCCGCAAGGTCTTCAACACGTGCCGAGGAGGTGCTGTGCGTCGCGACAGAGTGTCGGGCTGTGTGGCGGACGGGCACGAGGGCGCAAGGGCGGAACGGTGCGTCGCCTCCGCCCTCGTCAAGTCCTCCCTCGTCATTTCGAAGCCCTCCCTGACACTCTCTACGTCTCTCGCAGGCTAGAAGGCGAGCGCAAGAGGTGTTTGAGCCGGGCCCGAGCGAGGAACACCGTCCTAACCGAGAGCAGCTTCTCGTTCTCGTCCGAGAGCGATTCCTTTGCGAGCCCGGCCCCGCCTCCATCCGCGCAGATCTCCAGGCAACGAGCTTGCCGAGGCGCACCCGCCGTTGAGCTCGATCTTCTCGAGCACGCACCGCGGCGTCCGCCCCGCGGAGAGTGCGCGAGCTCGCCGTCGCCGCGCAACGCTCCTCCTCCATCTTCCTCACTCGTCCCACCGCTCTTCCCGCCAGCGCCTGCTCCTCCGGACGTGCGACCTGACCGACGGCTTCTCGACTCGGCGCAGCTAGAGGCACACGCTCCTCGCCGCCTCTCGCACCTTCCCTCGTCGTCATCCGTCCGCCGACACGCCGCCAGAACCTCGCGCCCCGATGCCCGTCGCTCGCCACGACCCGGCGGCGACCGCGAGCGCGGCGGCGGTCAGGCCCAGCTCGGGACGCGGCGGCGCCGTCGTCGGCGCGTCGGGCACGGCCTCGACGACCTGGTCCTCGGCCGACGACGACTCGCTGCTGCTCCTCCGCCTCGACGGCCACACCAAGCCCGTGTGCGCCGACCGACTGAGCAAGACGCTCGACTCGGTCACCGAGCGCCTCACGCACCTGTACGCTACTGGCCGCCTCGCCGCCGCGCTCAAGCCCTGGACCGCCGAGAACGACCAGCAGCTCGCCCGCCTACACCAGGCCAAGCCCGTCGGCGACATCGCCCAGGTCGTCGGCCGCCCGACAATCGCCGTCGTCTGGCGCATCGACGTCCTCCGCAAGCCAGGCGGGCTGCTCGGCGCGAGCTCGGCGCGAGCGAGGGCAGCGTCGCGCCCGAGCGAGCTTGTCGCGAGCGAGGGCCCGGCGGCGAGCACGCGCGAGGCGGCGAGCGGCATTGGTGGGGACGTCGAGGGCGAGGGACGAGGCGCGTCGCGCGCAGCCGGCGAGCAGCGGCAGCAGGGCGAGCGCGGAGGAGGCGGGGCAACGTCGATTTCGCCGTCGGGTGCGTCCTCCTTTTCTCGATCGGCCCTCTCCTTCCCTGAGCGAGCCTGACATCTCTTCTCGTGCTCCACGTCGCAGAGACGAAGAAGGGCCCCTATTCAGCCGAGGAGGACGCCGTCATCATCCAGTTGCGTGCGGGCGGGCGCACCTTCGCCGACATCGGCCAGCAGATCTCGAGGTCGGCGAGGAGCGTTACCCAGCGCTTCACGATCCTCAAGGGCAAGGGCAGGACCAGTGCTCCTCCAGGGTACAGCGAGGCCGCCCCGACGCCGACGGGTGCGCCCACGTCCTCTTGATCTTCTTCTCGCGCGGACATCTCTGACGACCGCCTCGCCCACAGCCAAGATCCCTTCCCTCCCTATCCCTTTCCTCGCCCGAGACGACGCCTCGACCACCTCCGCATCCACGTCAACGGCCTCGCCCGCCGCTCCTTCGACGCCCGCACCCGCCGCCAACCACTCGCCGTTCCCGACCGACCCGACCGACTCGCCGAGCGAGCTGTTGGACGACGCCGTCATCGTCGGCCTCCTCAAGCGTGGGCGTGACTACGCCACGATCGGTGCGGCGCTCGGCACGTCGAGCCGGAGCGTCGCCGAGCGGGTCGACGCGAAGCGCAGCGACTGGCTCAAGCACGGTGCGTCCTCTCTTTTCACTTTGCCAGTCTGTTTGAGTCCCTCTGGGCCCGTCGCAGTCACTGACCGACTGCCGCACCAACAGGCCTTCTCCTGCCGTCCTCTCTGCTCGCGCAACCAGTCGGCTCGCCCGACATTTCTCTCGGCAAGCGCTCTCGCCTCGACGACGCGAGCAACCGCCAAACCGCAGCCGCCCACACGCCCGCTCCCGTCGCTGCATCCGGCGGGGCCGCCGATGGGGCCGTCGCCGGGCCCGTGCCGCGCAAGCGCCTGCGCAAGAGGTGGTTCACCGCGTCGGCCGAGTACGCCAAGGCCATAGCGGCGGCGGGGCGGCTCGCCAAGGCGTTCGAGGAGGACCTCGCCCTCGCTCGGGCTCAGGAGGAGGGCGCGGACGAGGGCGAGGGCAAGGGCAAGGAGGTCTGAGGAGGGCGTCGAGAGAGAATGGGGTTGGCGCGCTTGTGCGCCGCCGCTTGTGTCAAAGCTTGCTAGTCCTGTCAAGTCTGCTGTGCACCTCGCTTTAGCCAGACCGACTTGAGAGTGCCGTTCTGCGAGAGACTCGAGCGACGTCGAGAGCAGACGAGGCCCGTGCACAGATCCGGCAAGAGCTCCGTCTACGAGCGGCTCCGTCTCGGTGAGGGGCTCTTTCGGTTTGAACACTTCTCTGTTCTCACGAGAGAACTCTTGCGACGCTGCTGCGCGAGCGACCGAGCCGAGGTCGAGCGAGACAAGCGCAGCGAGCAACTCGAGGCCGACGCGCGAGACGAGCTCTCGCTCTCTCTCTGTGTCTCTGAACGGCCAGGTGAGGTCTCGAGCTCGTGCTCAGCACCTCGCACTCCTCGCACATCGCGTCGCTGGCCCCGTACCACGCGAGAGGAGCGAGAAAAAGACCTCGGCATTCGACGCTTTGACCGCTGTCTGCTGCAAGCTTATCGCTCTCTCGAATCGCTCGCCTCGGCGAAGTCGGCGTAGCCGAGCTGCGTGCGCTCTTCGACGCTCTCTGCTGCTTCCCAGGCAGAGCTGCTCACAAGTTACAGTCCCTCTCGAGCTCTCTCGCGCCGTTGAGCCGCCTTTCGACGCCGCGACGAGCTCTCAGCTGCACATGAGAGCGACGGTCGGGAGGCGAATATTATCGACGCGTTGCAAAGGTGGAGAGGGGGGGGGGGTCGAGACGCGGCGCGGAGCGCGCGATTGGACCGGCCGAGCTTCTCCGACCCCGTCCTCCTCCCTCGTTCGCTCCCTCACTGCGCTCGACCCGGCCGTTCGTCGACAATGACGCCCTTCTTGCGCAGCGCCTTGACCCTGCCCCGGATGCCCGAGAGGGGCCGCTTGAGCCGCCTCGCCGTGATGGACTGCTTGACGCCCGCACGTCGGTCGGCGATGATGATGGCATCCTCCTCGGCCGTATACATCCTGCCCGACGCCCGCTCGGATGAGGTCGTCGTCGAGAGGAGGCGGGTCGGGAGGGGAGGGAGCTGGGCGGTGGCGAGGGAGGAGGACGGGTGGGTCGAGGTGGAGGTCGAGGCGGTGGGTGGGGAAGGCTCGCGCTTGAACGACTCGGCGGCGACGACAGGTGTGGACGAGCGCGAGGTTGACGATGCGACGAGCGAAGCTGTGGAAGGAGAGACTCAGTCGTGAGGGACAGAGGCTCGAGAGGACCCGAAAGCGAGACAGAGAGAGGGGGGCCTGAGCGGACCTGGGGATCCCGCCGAGCCGTCCTTGGCCTCGCACCAGGCGAGGCACACGTCGACGAGGGACGTCTGCTTGCCGAGGCCATGCAGTACCTGCATCCACCTGCTCGTCGCCTTGACCTCGCCTTCCCACCCAGCCGCGTTGCGCTCGACGCTCCCTCCGAGCCCGATGACGACGTCGACGAGGTGCGCAAGCTCGTGCGGCGTCCACTCGGCGCGCTCGAGCTCGACAGCCGCCTCGGCCTGGGCCCGGCGGGTGCGGTGCGCGCCGGCCGTGTACTGCAAAGTGCGCCACTGCTCGGCGAGGTCGGCGGCGGTGCGAGCGGGGCCGGGCTCGCCCTCGGCCACGAGCGAGTCGAAGCGCGCCTTGACAGCCGGCCATGCCGAGCGAGAAGATGATGCCGAGGCGGCAGTCGAGGCGAGGACGGCGTTCATGGGCTGCGCTGCGGACCAAGGCGAGTGGTGCTTGACGGCGGCGACGAGGCGGGCGTCCTCGTCGGTCGTCCAGGGCGTCGCCGTCGTAGCTGTCGTACGGGGGAGAATGAGCGTCAGGCACCCTCAAGATAGTAGAGGACAGGCGCGACAGAAAGGGCGACGCACAAGGTGAAGAACCGTCCGACTCGGGCTCGCTCGGCTGCGGCGGATCATCGTCGAGGTATGACAGCGCCTCGGACACTGCTCGACGAAGGGTCAGTACCCGGAAGAGGAGCTCAGAGAGACCGAGAAAGAGAGAGGGGACACACCTTGCTGCACGAGAGCGTTCCACCGACCCTCGACCTGGCGCCTCGTCCTCCTCGTGCCGGGCAGCGCCTCGGCGACACTCGCCCAGTCGACGCCCTCGCCTCGCCTTGTCGCCTCCTCGTTCATCGTCTCGACCGTGCTGACGAGGACGACGTCGTCAACAGGCGTCCAGGTCGACGGGAAACCGAGGCTGAGGGCGTGCCCGTCGCGGTACGAGGTGGTCGAGACGGGCGCGGCGTGACGTGAGGGCTTGGGCTCATGCGAATCGCTGTGCCGACGTTCTGCGGACCCGATAGGACTGGGTGAGCCCTGTCTTCTCTCCCCTGCAGACTCGACGGAGGAGGAAAAGGGGACGCACGATGGACAGGACGCTCCGCAGATGACGAGGACGAGCGACGGCGCTTGCCCGCCAGGCCAAGTGACCGTACAGGCTCGAGGTAACCGTCTGTGAGAAGTGGCAGTCAGTCTCTCGGCGAAAAGAGAGGGAGTGGACGGCGAGACGCACCTTGCTCTGCCTCCTCGTACGAGTCCTCCCCCTCGCCGCTCGAGTCTGGCCCCGCCATGGCCTGCTGAGCACCTTGAACCGCCGTGTGGTCCTTCCCGGGCAGCGCGAGGGCTGTTGATGGCTCTGGTGCGGGCCACGCGAGCGAGAGCGGGGGCACGGCGAGAGGCACCGGCGGGACTCTGAGCGGAGCTGTGGCGGGGGTGTGGCGGTCGCGAGGGCGCTGTAGAGGCTGCTGCATAGTCGTGCGCTGCTCTGGCGGTGTGTGAGCGGGTGAGGTGAGAGGAAGAAGGGTGCAGGCTCGAGAGTGCGGGGGAGGCAAAAGCGCACGCGCCTCGTCTCACAAAAGCGGAGCGTGCGAGCCTCTCTCCTCGTCCAGCAGTGCTTGTGCAAGCCCCCACAGCTGTAGGGGAGCTACACAGAGCTTCATGAGAGATTGAACAGGCGCGAGAGCCGCAGCGCGACCTTCTCAAATTCGGCCGAGTAAAGCGACCGTCGCTCTCGCCTCTCGCTCGCTCGCCTCTCACGAGTGCCCGCAGCGCAGAAAGGCACATCGACAGTGCACGCAGGCGTGAACCAGCACGCGAACAGGTCCTCCCCGCTCTCTCCCGCGCCCCCTCAAGCAGCGCCTCCCTCCCTCGTCCAGCTCACCGCTCGCCGCCGGGCCCGTCGACGACGCCCAGCTGCCCGTCGAGGAACGCCTCGAGGCCGGGCACGTACAGCCCGGCGAGACCGCCCGGACCGCCGGCGCTCGTGCGCGGGCTCGCCTCGCCCACGCCGCCACGGCCGCCGTGCCCGAGCATGTCGGCCTGCCCGTCGCCGCCGCCGCCCGAGCGACGCACGCCCTGCAGCTGCCGCGCGAGTTGCGCATAGTACTGCTGCGTGGCGTCGGCCTCGGCGGACCCAGTCGACGCCGCCGCCGACGTGGCCGAGGTCGACGAGCCGAGAACGGGCGCGTGCGCGAGGGCATGCGTGCCGCTCAGAGCGAACGCGGCGCTCGGCGTGATGCTGCGCGCGCCCCTGCCGCCGCCGTGCGCGTGGGCGTGGGCGTGCGCCTGGGCCTGCGCATGGGCCTGCGCGGCGAGTACCTGCAGCGCCGGGTCGAGCGCGTCGTCGTCCTGCCCGGCGAGCCCGGTGAGGCGCAGGCGCTTGTCGATGCGGCCATCGTTGTGCGCGTCGTCGCCGTCGAGCCGTGACGCCGAGGCCGAGGCCGAGGCGACGCTGCGCTCGCGTGCCCGCTTGGCCGACGACGACGGTGGCCGACCATCGCCGCCAGCCCCTCCCTCTCCCCCGCCCTCGCCGCCCTCGAGGCCCGGGCTCGCGCTCGGCGCGACCGAGTAGTGCGCCGCGCCGGGCACGACGGCGCGCCACGCCTGGGCATCGGCGACCTGCGCCTGGCCCTGGGCCTGCGCGACGACGGCCGGCGTGCGCTCGCCCTTCTTCTTGCCCTTCTTGCCCTTGGCGCCCGCTCTACCTGCCCCCTCGCCGTCCTTGTCCGCCCCACTCGCGCTCGCCGAGCCCGCCTTGGTCGGGCGCGCGACGGCGACCTCGTCGAACGAGATGACGACTTGGCGCGCGGCGTCGGTGCCGGCCTCGGGCGGATCGTTGGACGACGAGCCGTCGGGGTAGGTGTACCGGGCGCGGACGAGGTGCACCATGGCTTGCTGTGGGGGGGGGGGGGGGGGGGCGAGAGGGGAGGGAAGGAAGAAAGGGTCAGAATGGGTCCGGGCGTGAGGCGGCGCGTGCGGGAGGATGCTCGAGAGGATGCTCGAGAGGAGGCGACGAGGGCGTAGGACGATTCGAGAGGATGTCGGTGGGCGAGAGGAAGGGCAGGACACGCCTTGGGGAGAGAGAAGGAGGCGGACGAGAGAAAGGTCGCGACGCACATGCTGCTGCAGGTTGTCCTTGCGCGAGAACGTCTTGCCGCACCCGGCGACCGTACAGGGAAAAGCTGTGTGTGCCGACAACCGAGAGAGGTCAGTCCTGCCCGAGCGCGAGTCAACCCTGTTCGCCCCCTCCTCGGCTACCTCTCCCGCCTTCTCCTTTCCTCAGCCGTCGCCCATCTCCTCGACGCTCCTCCAACGCCCACGATCACGCGAGAGAGAGAGGGAAAGAGAGCAACCCGACGCACGTTTCTCGCCCCGGTGCACGCTCTTGTAGTGCCGCCGAAGGTGCTCGCTGCGCTTGAACGCCGCCGTGCAGTGCTCGGCCGGGCACACGTGCACGCTCGCCTGGGCCTTGGACAGGCCGCCCTTGGAGCCCTTGCCCTTCTTGGGCGGTGGAGCCGGGGCTGCTGAGGGTGCTGGGGCGGGTGCGGCGGACGAGGAGGGAGCGGAAGGGTCGACCGTCGAGGCTGGGGCGGTCGAGTACGAGGTCGATGGGTCGGCGACGAGCTCGAGAGCGGGCGCGGACGACGGTGTGGAGGAAGAGGGCGAGGCTGTCGGGGCGAGAGCGCCGGCCGCAGGAGGAGGAGGAAGAGGGACGGCGAGGTCGGCCGGCGAGGCCGAGTCGGGCGCGCTCTCGGCGGCGACGGCGGCAGCGCCCTCGCCCGGCGCGCTCGTCGCGGTGCCAGGGACCGAGAGCGGCACAGCCTTCTGCGTGCGCCTGCCGCGCAAAACCGTGTGGGGCTGGAACGGCACGGGCGGCTTGGCGACCATGGCGTCGCGCGGGAGGTAGCCCTTGCCCGCGTTCGAGTGGAGCTTGGTGCCCTCCTTGAGCGGGTACGGGTGGCCCGGGAGCGTCTCGGACGGCGGGAGCGGCGGCGGGAGGGCCGAGGGCTCGATGGGCTCGACGTGCGCGGCGGGACGGCCGGTCGAGAGGGCGCTCGAGGTGGCCTTGCGGAGAGGGCGCGCTTTGGCGAGGGCGTTGGAGGTAGAAGTGGGCGAGGTGGATCTGGTGGTGCCTGTGTGCGGCGGCAAGGATGTCAGTCTCTGGCCTCGTGCGCCGAGGACAGATCCGCCGGCGAGAAGGACGCACCCGACGAGTCGTCGACCAGCAGGGCCCCCTCTCTTGCACCGCCAGCTCCTCCCTGCACCTGCGCCGGTCCTCCTGCGCCCGCCGACCCGCCGACGACCATCTCGCTCGACGGCTCGAGTCCGCCGCCGCCGAACCCCTGCGCCTGCTCGACGCCCGCCGCGTCGCTCGGTGTGGCACCCGGACCTGCAGAGACGGCCAGGGAGAGTCAGTGCTACTGTCCCAAGGCAGAGCCCGCACCTCGAGAGCGCTCGGCCTCGCGGCAAGCGCTGCGAGGAGCCCGACATGCGTGAGAGCAGGGAACCTGTGCGACTGACCCATCTCGCCCCTCGCGACCCGGTCCCGCAGGAATTTGTACCACCGCATCGAGCACCCGGTCGGCGCGCGGCCCATGGCGGCGCCGATCTCGTTCCACGTCAGGGGCGGCACGACGCGCACGAGGTGCACGAGGTGGGCGTCCTCGCGGGCGGTCCAGCGCGCGCGGGAGCCCGGGCCGCGGCCGCGCGTGCGGGTCGAGGTGGCGGCGGCGGTGGAAGGTGCGGGTGCGGAAGGTGGTGGTGGGAAGGAGAGCGAGGAGGGGAGAGGGGCGGCGCTTGCTGAAGCGGCGGCGGCGGACGAGGACGAGGGAAGGGCGTGTGCGGCGGCGGCGCCGGTGGCCGAGGTTGAAGGAGGGGACGGGAGCGCGGCGGGTGCGGGTGCCGGGTGGGCGTTGGCGAAGCTCGGCGGCGGGACGGGCAGCTGCGGGAGGAACAGGCCCTGCTCGTCGTCGTCGCCCTCGCCGTCGACGTTCAGGTCGTGCGGCCCTGCGGCATGCCCCTGCTCGCGCTCGTGCTGCACCTGCCCATGCTCCTGCTGGTCCTGCTGCTGTCCGAGCCCGGCGCGCAGGCGGATGAGCTGGTCTGCGCCCTGGGGGCGCGCCGCGCCGGCCGAGTAGGCGGCGAGGGCCGAGTTGATGAGGGCGTCGACGTCGTCGTCGCCGCTGGTGGCGCCGTAGCCGTGGTGGTGGGCCTGGGCGTGGTCGTGCGGCTGAGGTGGTTGGGCGAGGTGAGGGCGAGTCGGGGCCTGGGCGGCGCCGAGTGCGGCGAGGTAGAAGGCGCCGTCGTGCTCGGGCTGGTGCTCTGCGGCAGGGGAGAGGGCGAGCGTGAGCCAGGGTCGACTGTGCTGGTGCGCGTGCGGCCCCACACGGCTGCGCTGAGCCGGGCGAGGACGCGGACGCGACGGCGGGGAGATGAGGCGGGAGGAGGAGAGCGGGGAGCGCACCTGGACCTTGGGGCGTGCGGCCTTGGTCTGGGCTGCGCTGCCCTGTGCCGTCCATCGCCCGCGTGTTGGCAGCTGGACCTCGCGCGGGTCGAGAGTGAGAGGGGGAGAGGGGGAAAGCCCGACCGCCGACGCGGACGACGGCCAAGGGGAGACGACGACGCTCGCTCTCGCTGCTGCAGAGCCCAGAATGCGCTCTTCGGGCATCTCACATGCTCACAGCAACACTTTGGCACCAAACACCGCCCCTTGAGCAAGGCGCACCAACTCGCTCTCGCTCGCCGACCGCAAGGGCTCGCACAGAATGCTCGGGACAAACGTCCAGCTGCGCGTTGCAGACCATCGCCATGTCCATCTCGGGTACCTGCTCTCCTGCCCGAGACTCGCTCCGACACGGTTCTCGGCGCAACGAGCGCACCTGACGGCCGCGCCCTCTCGCCGCCCTGGCAGCTCCTCCGTCCTCGCCGAGGTCGGCCCGCCGTCGAGGACCCGCGACACTGCCGCCGACGCTCGAGCGGCGCGAGTGGGTGCGGACGATGTGGTGCTCGACGTGATTGGCGACGGTGGGCAGGGCGAGGAGGGACACGTCGGGTCGGGAGTTGGCGACCGAGGTCGACAGGGCAGGTGGGCAGTCGAGCTCGGGCAGCGAGGGGCAGGCTGACGGTGAACGAGGGCGTTAGTGCGTCGAGATGAGGTACGGCCGGGCTGGGCGTGGTGGGTGAGCGCGAAGGCAGGGCGCAAAGGCGAGTTGGGCGCGGGCGCAGGTCGGCTCGGGACGGCGTCGCAGGCGACGCGCGCGGTACCGGCGCGCAGACGACGTTGGTGAGCGGTCGATAGCTATGTCGCGAGCGTGCTGGACCGGTCTGATGAGGACAGGGCGGGGTGCGACGTGAACGTGGGCGAGGCGACGAGGCGAGGAGGGGCATTGGCGCCGGTGCGGCCGGCCTGGCACGGTGAGGCGGCGGAAGCGACGTGTAGTGGGGCTGTCGAAGATGCTGTGCCCCTCAGAGGGTGGCTGTGCGGCGAGTCGAGGAGGAGAGGTTGAGCTTGAGCGAGTCGTTACGTCGGGGCACGGCGAGGGCAGCCGAGGCGGATCTTGGGGGCTGTACGGCAGATTGCGAGTGGCAGCAGGCCAGCTTGAGCCGGTGCGGCGAGAGGACCGCCGTGGACGAGGACGAGCCGCGAGGCGACCGATTCGAGCCAGACGGCGGCCCTCGCTCTCGTCGAGGGACGGGGACAGGGCTGCGATCGTGCTCGAGAGCAGCAGCTTGGTCCCCACGAGGTGGCCAGCACGGCGCAGGTTGAGAGAGCGACCTCGTCGGCCAGTGTGACGGCATCGGCCTCCTCGCTCTCCTCCTTCCCTCTCTCCACCACAGACTGCACTACCGAGACCATGCCCAAGACCATCTACTTTACGCGACATGCCCAGGCCGAGCACAACGTCGCTGAAGATTACTCGAGTCCGTCCTCGCCCTCTCTCCCCTGCCCCTCTCGCACGCTCACTCGCTTCCGCCCACAGTCCCCGACGCACCCCTCACAAAGCTCGGCCGCGAGCAGAGCCGCAACTTGCGCAACGAGACCGAGGACGACTTCCAGAAGGACGCCGACCTCATCGTCTCGTCGCCGGTCCGCCCTCGCTCGTTCCCCCCCTCCTCGCGCGCCGCCTCGCTGAACCTGTCCTCTCCGGGCGCACACAGCTCCGTCGCCCGATGCAGACCATGATCATTGGGTGCGTCGCCCTTTCCTCACTCTCTCTCCCTCCACGCGAGGTTGACCCTTTGTCGCGCCGTCCGCAGCTACGCCCCGCTGCGCGAACGCCTCGAACGCGCAGGCAAGCCCGTCGTCATCATGCCTGAGCTGCAGGAGGTCAACGCCCTCCCTTGCGACACCGGCTCGGTGCGCCCCACCTTTTCCCTCCTCCTCCCCCTCGTCCTCGAACCTGACCCTCCCGCCCCGCCCTCGCAGGACCGCGCCACCCTCGCCTCCGACCCCGAGTTCACCGGCCTCGACCTCTCGCCCCTCGAGCCGTCCCCGACACCCGAGCACTGGGCGGGCGCCTCGTCGTGGACGAGCAAGGAGGGCATCTTTGCGCCCGAGCGCGTCGAGGAGCGCGCGAGGTGGGTCAGGAGGTGGCTGCGCGACCGCAGCGAGGACAAGATTGTCGTCGTCGCGCATGGCGACATCTTGAGGTGCTTGACCGAGGGCAGGAGGTCGGCGACGGTGCGTCCCTCTCTCTCTCTTTTCCGTCCCTCGCCGAGCAGCGCACTGACCCTCTGCCTCTTCCTCTTCCTCTCCCTCTGCCGCCCTTCCCTCCCTTTCTCCACGCTCCTCTCTCTCCCCCCCCCACACTCCCCGTCCCACGCCCACGCCCGCCCGCACCCCAGCCCTGGGCCAACGCCGAGGTGCGCGCCTACACCTTCTCGACCGACCCGGCCCACGCCGACGACGCCGTCGTCGTCCCCGTGCGCGAGGTCGCCAAGGAGGGCTCGGACGAGCCGACGACGAGCGACATGGCCAACGGGAGGGCTTAGAGCGCCCGCGAGGAGGAGGGCGAGCGTGCGAGGAGGAGGAGGGCGCAGAGTCGAGCGTAGACGCAGCTAGAGCGAGAGGACGTGTCAATACTGCCTGTCACAGCGATCTCTCGGTCGGTCCCTTTCGGCGGTAGAGAGAGAAAGCGAGATGAGCCGGCCTTTCTTGCGCTCGAGCCGTGTTTCTCTCTCGTGCAGCTCAGCCACGGTCGTGCTCGCACTCGCGCTCGCTCCGCCGCTCGAGACGGCAGTCTGGACCGAGCGAGGCTCACTGTGCGTCTCGCTGCAGCTCTCGAGCGAGGGGCGCATGTCGAGGAAACGCTCTGCCAGGTTCTTTTTTCCAGCTCGAGACGTCTACGCCGCCGCCGCCCTCATCCTCGCGCTCTACTTGCCCTCCTCGACGACCCTCTTCGTGCTGCCCTCGCCCTCGCCCTCCTGCTCGTGCGCCACGACAAGGTCCACCTTGTAGTGCCGCTCGTCGCTCTTGTCGCGCAGGCGCTGCGCCGCCTGCTCGGGCGTAATGTCGCGCTGCGTCTCGGCAAAGAGCTCGAACCCGACCAGGTATTTCTTGACGGTCGCCGAGCGCAGGAGGGGCGGGTAGAAGCCGAGGTGGAGCTGCGCAAACGCGCCGAGGTCGGACGTGTCGGCGGCGGCGGAGGAGGACGACGAGGGCGAGGCGACGTGCGTCGGGGCTTGGTAGACGCCCATCGAGTAGGCGAACGAGCACTCGAACCTGTCGTGGTCAAGGTCAACCACCACCCACAGCGGCACTCGCTCGAGCGCGAGGAGAGAAGGAGGGAAAGGGAGAGCGCGCGACGCACAGGTTGTCGTACCGCCTCGCGACCCTCACCATCGTCTCGGCGAGGTCCCTCCGCTCCTCGTCGTCGAGCTCGGCCAAGCTCCGCACGTGCCGGCGGTGCGGCACGACGAGGATCTCGAACGGCCACGCGGCCCAGTACGGCACGAGGGCGACAAAGTGGGCGCCGACGTGCGTCACGCGCGAGGTCGACGGCGACTTGTGGTGCAGCGAGAGCTCGTGCGAGGCGTAGGTGAGAAGGAGGGAGGCGAGGCCGTTGGTGCTGCACGAGAGGGGAGGGCGTCAAGACGGGGACGAACCGACAGGGCTCGAGCAGGCGCTACACCGCCGACGAGGCAGAGAACAGCCGACGCACAGGGTAGGGACGCCCTCGACAGGCTTGTGCTCGAGCGCGTACGCGCGCTGCGCGTCGAGCATGGTCTGCGGCGTGCTCGGGATGTACGACAGCGACCAGGCCTGCGAGCGACGACGGAGAGCGTCAGTACAAGCGGCGTCACTTGGGGCGGAAAGCGCCTTGTCCTGCAGCTGC